GTCTTTCAGTTGGAAATGCCATACCATAATTTCAAATTATTTCATTTAATATTAGACAATGGTAGGCCGAAGTAATGAAATTCGCCATGAAACATTGTCAACCATCTTCATACAATATTTTATTTCTATTTTCATTGCTACACACACAAAGTTAGTACATCAACACAAAAACGTAAATTTCACTATACCCATTATACAAAAAATCTTTAACCACATAGTAACATACCTTAATTCTCAGATATTACATCAAGACTAGTGTTGCATCACTTGCGATTAGAAGGCGCTATACTACCTTTTTTTCAATTAGAAAGTGAGGTCTTGTGATACCTCATTTAATAGATATTTTATTTTTCCATGCAATTTTTTATTTTTGGGAATCGGATCACCCTGAGTAATTGGTTGAGTTTTAAAGAACTGCAAATAAATGAAACATAACATAACTTCAAGAAAAATGTATTCAAAACTCATTTCAGTTCATTCCAATTAATGTTTGAAATGTTCACCATTTACTTTCTGACAATATTTACTTGCAAATTAGTTTTTTACATTATGGAATTATTTTTGGATAGCTTTGTTAACACCTCTTGAGCTCCGGTTGTGAAACATACACTTTGAGTTCACGAATTCCGCAAAAAAATCAAAGCGTCATATCAGGTAATCTGGCAGGTCGTTCTAATGGACGTTTGCCAATCTGGATAGTTGTCATCAAGTCAATTTCGGACCAGCCTGTCTTAATAAAGAGAAACTTCATCTTGCTGAAACTTAACATCAGTTGAAATCTCATTTGGTTTTGTCAATTATCCAAACCGTTAGACGTTAGACGTGTAGATGTGGTCCTTTAGAAGAGCTCAATCAACTTACTTGATATGACGCGTCTAGATATTTTTAAGTGGATATGTGACATCTGAAGTGTTCTGTACATAACCACAGTTCGTTTGAGAACTAATGGATAGGAAATGAGGTGCTTGCAATGAAATTACTTTAGAAACATTTCATAATGTGAAAAATAAATTTGCAAATAGACTTCATCAATGTCGGGAGTAAATGTTGAACTTTTATTGGAACAAATTGTATTTTTAAATCAAAATTGTGATATTCATCGTTTGTTCACAGATTCTCGAAACGCATATAAGACTGACAATTAGGTAGGTACTCTGGAACGGAATATCTAATTTCCACACAATAAAAAAAGTTGAATAGACACGGTATCACAAAATCCCCCTTTTTTTGGAAAAAAAGTTTCTAACGCCCTCTCGGTGGCGAGTGATGCAACCTTATTTTTTCTTATCAAAAAGAACTAAAAATGATACTTTTTACATGGATTATATGCGACATAGAAATCTTGCCTTTTAAAAATTGAGAAGTAATTATTTTCGTCTGTACTCTACAGGGTGTTCCTTAAACACATGCTAATATTTAAGGAGGTAATTCTTAGACCCATTTTAAGAAAAAAACTTCCTATGGACCTATGTCCTAAACGCCTTAACTTTTGAGATACAGGGTGGCAAAGTTTTCAAAAATAATCAGTTTTTTAATAATAACAGATAATTTTGTAGACATCTTTGGCATATTTGGTACATATGTTCCATGCCTCAAGGCGCTTTTTCTGATGTACACAAATTTGTATTTTTTCAAACAGTGGCATCCCTACGGGTTTCGCATTGAATATTTTTGGGGAAAAAGTACTACGCCAATGCTTTCTTTTCAAAATAAAATCATTTTTAAAATCCTCATTTATTTTTGAGAAAATTTGATCTC